TTGCTAAGACCATTGGAAAAGCACAGTATTTGGGCAAGAGTGTCCCAGTTTTCCAGGTACAGTCTGTTACAGCTTTCCTTGGCTAGAAGAGGGAAATTCCCCAATCCCTTGCACTTCCTGGGTGAGGTGATGCCCTGCCCTACTTCAGCTCACCCTCTGTGGGCTGCACCCACTGTCCATTCAGTCCCAATGAGATGAACAAGGTACCTTAGTTGGAAATGGAGAAATCACCATCTTCTGCATTAATCACGCTAGAAGCTGCAGACGAGCTGTTCCTATTCGGCCATCTTGGAACGGAATCTGGATGATTTACTTTTGGCCAACAGTTCAGAAGCGTCATGCCAGCAGGCTACTCTAGATCTCTTGAACTTTCTAGCTAATCAAGGGTGCAAGGCATCTAAACTGAAAGCCCAGCTCTGCCTACAACAAGTCAAATATCTAGGCCTAATCTTAGCCAGAGGAACCAGGGCCCTGAGCTAGGAACAAATACAGCCTATACTGGCTTATCCTTGCCCTAAGACATTAAAGCAGTTGCAGGGGTTCCTTGGAATCACTGGCTTTTGCTGACTATGGATCCCTGGATATAGTGAGATGGCCAGGCCACTCTATACTCTAATCAAGGAGACCCAGAGGGCAAATATTCATCTAGTAGAATGGGAACCAGAGGCAGAGACAGCCTTCAAAACCTTAAACCAGGCCCTAGTACAAGCTTCAGCCTTAAGCCTTCCCACAGGATAAAACTTCTCTTTATACATCACAGAGAGAGTGGGAATAGCTCTTGGAGTTTTTACTCAGACTTGTGGGACAACCCCACAACCAGTGGCATACCTAAGTAAGGAAATTGTTGTAGCAGCAAAAGGCTGGCCTCACTGTTTACAGGTAGTTGCAGTGGTTGCTATCTTAGTATCAGAGGCTATCAACATAATACAAGGAAAGGATCTCACTGTCTGAACTACTCATGATGTAAACGGCATACTAGGTGCCAAAGGAAATTTGTGGCTATCAGACAACCACCTGCTTAGATACTAGGTGCTACTCCTTGAGGGACCAGTGCTTCAAATACGCATGTGTGCAGCCCTCAGCTCTGCCACTTTTCTCCCAGAGGATGGGGAACCAATCAAGCATGACTGCCAATAAATTGTAGTCAACTTATGCCGCCCAAGATGATCTCTTAGAAGTCCCCTTAGCTAATCCTGACTTTAAGCTATATACCAATGGAAGTTCATTTGTGAGGAATGGGATACGAATGGCAGGTTATGCCAGAGTTAGTGGTGTAACAGTACTTGAAAGTAAGCGTCTTCCCCCAGGGACCAGTGCGCAGTTAGCAGAACTGGTGGTGCTTACCTGAGCTTTAGAACTGGGAAAGGGAAAAAGAATAAATGTGTATACAGATAGAAAGTATGTTTATCCTACATGCCCATGCTGCAATATAGAAAGAAAGGGATTTCCTAACCTCTGGGAGAACCCCCATTAAATACCACAAGGAAATCATGAAGTTATTGCACGCAGTGCAAAAACCCAAAGAGATGGCAGTCTTACACTGCCAAAGTCATCAAAAAGGTGGAGGAGAAAAGGCAGAAGGAAATCATCGGACAGACACTGAGGTCAAAATTGCTGCCAGGCTGAACCTCCCATTAGAAATATCTATGGAAGGACCCTTGGTAGGGAACAACCCCCTGCAAGAGATTAAGCCCCAGAATTCCCTGACTGAAACAGAATGGGGACTTTCATGGGGGCGTAGTTTCCTCCCCTCGGGTGGTTAATGACAGAAGAGGGAAAGGTATTCATGCCCAAAGCCAGTCAATGGAAAATACTTAAGACCCTTCACCAAACTTTTCATATGGGTATTGAAAACACTCATCAAATGGTCAAATCCTTATTTACAGGGCCAAATATCCTCCAGACCATCCAACAAGTAGTCAAAGCCTGTGAGGTGTGCCAAAGCAAAAATCCCTTGGTCCATCGTAAGGCCCCTCTGGGGGGAACAAAGAACAGGGCACTATCTTGGAGAGGACTGGCAGTTAGACGTCACCCATATGCCTAAGCCAAGGGGATTTCAATACTTGTTGGTCTGTGTCGATACTTTTACAAATTGGATAGAAGCCTTCCCCTGTAAGACAGAGAAGGCTTGGGAAGTGGTTAAAGTCCTAATTCATGAAATAATTCCTAGATTTCGGCTTCCCCAAAGCTTACCAAGAATGCCTTAACAGGATGCGCAATCCAGCTTTTACTCTCTTACGTTTCCAACCACACCTATTACATGAGCAGTGAAAAGCCCATACACGACCCTATAACCACAAATACTGTCTTAACTTTCCAAGCCCCTTTATGCATCCAGCACAACCTGTTATCAGGCCTGCCCCTGGGGCACCTACTACCCTATCAGTGTAGTTACACGCTACAACTTCAAGCCCCAACTGATCATGGTAACTTCTGAGTCACCCAAACAGCTCCATTCAGATGGCTTGTCGGCTTCTCAGGGCCTCCAAAAATAATCACCTCCTCCCTGCTTAACAAACAGTCCGGGTTTTGTAATGGCAAACGTACTCCCTGCGTGACCATTCACCCCTGGATCCCCTGCAGCAGCGCCCCCACCATTAATGATTGCCTTTTCATCCCCTTTTTCAATCACTCCCTTGAATGGTTCCCAGTAGATACAAAACAGTTTTCTCTCCAATGGGAAAATAGAACACAGGGAGCCACTCAGTTTGCTCCCCATACCCATTTCCAGCTACTCACCAGAGCTACCTTGGCAAGTACTCTAGGGGTATGGGAAAATGAAAATAACAAACTCACACACATGTTTAACATACACAACCAGTTCTGTCTACAGCCAAGGCATATTCTTTTTTTTTTTTTTTTTTTGAGACAGAATTGCCCAGGCTGGAGTGCAGTTGCGCAGTCTTGGCTCACTGCAAGCTCCGCCTCCCAGGTTCATGCCATTCTCCTGCCTCAGCCACCCAAGTAGCTGGGACTACAGGTGTCTGCCACCATGCCTGGCTAATTTTTTTATTATTTTTAGTAGAGACGGGGTTTCACTGTGTTAACCAGGATGGTCTCAATCTCCTGACCTCATGATCCACCCGTGTCGGCCTCCCAAAGTGCTGGGATTACAGATGTGAGCCACCACGCCTGGCCAGACATATTCTTCTTATGTGGAACTTCAACCTATATCTGCCTCTCCACCAACTGGACAGGCACCTGCACCTTAGTCTTCGTAAGTCCCAACATTGACATTGCCCCAGGAAATCAAACCCTATCAATGCATCTCAAAGCACAAGTCCATCAGTGCAGGGCCATACAACTAACACCCCTAGTTATAGGGTTAGGAATGGCCACTGCTACAGGAACTGGAATAGCAGGTTTGTCCACTTCACTCTCCTACTACCACACACTCTCAAAGGATATCTCAGACTGTTTGTGAGAAATAACAAAATCTATTCTTACTCTACAATCCCAAATATACTCTTTGGCAGCAGTGATTTTCCAAAACTGCTGAGGCCTAAACCTCCTTGCTGCTGAGAAAGGAGGACTTTGCACCTTCTTAGGGGAAGAGTGTTGCTTTTACACTAACTAGTCAGGGAGAGTATGAAACATTGCCCTGCATTTACATAAAAAGGCTTCTGAAATCAGACAACGCCTCTCAAACTCTTATACCAACCTCTGGAGTTGGGTGACATGGCTTCTCCCCTTTGTAGGTCCTGTGACAGCCATCTTGCTATTACTCACCTTCAGGCCTTTTATTTTATTTTATTTTATTTTATTTTTTTAGACGGAGTCTTGCTCTGTTGCCCAGGCTGGGGTGCAGTGGCGTGATCTTGGCTCACTGCAGGCTCCCCCTCCCGGGTTCACGCTGTTCTCCTGCCTCAGCCTCCTGAGTAGCGGGAACTACAGGTGCATGCCACCACGCCCGGCTAATTTTTTGTATTTTTAGTAGAGACAGGGTTTCACCGTAGCAGCCAGGATGGTCTCGGTCTTCTGACTTGTGATCCGCACGCCTGGGCCTCCCAAAGTGCTGGGATTACAGGCGTAAGCCACCGCTCCTGGCCAAATTTTTTTTTTTTTTTTTAAACAGGACTTGCTCTCCTTTCTGTTTTCTCCCCCAGCCTCTTTATGGGTGAGCGGCAAAATAACACTTACCTACCGGCTTCCATTTATCTCAGTCCCTGTCCTGTCGGACCCTCTGGACAAGATCCCCCGCCTCTCCTGCCCACATACTGGAAGGTGCAGCACCCAGGGCGCACAGCTCCCGAGTGGCAGTGGGACTCATGCGCAAGAAGGCCATTCCCGCACTAAGCTGAGCCGTTTCTGGAAGGTACCCTCTGCCTAGGTGCCGGCAGTGGCCGCAGAACGCACCCGCGGGGAGACAGCGCATCATCAAGGTGCTGTGGCCGCGTTGAGGCCTCCTTCTCCCCCGGTCTCCATTCCCACGCGCCCCAACCCACCGCGACCTTCGCTGGCGCCCGGTATTCACCTAATGCATTGGCAGCCACAGCCTTCAGCACGAGCTATCTCCGCTGCCTCCCCAGCAGCTGCTGATTGAGGGAGGTGCGCGGCGGAGGGCGGGGCCACCGGCAGGGGGCCTGGCGAAGGCCACTGATTTCCTACTGCATACAACAGCCCACTTTACCTAAAGCAGAAATTAAAGCCAGGAGGCGCCATCCTTTGTGGGCCCCTGAAAAATACAAAACGAGGTTTGGAAACAGTTCAAAGGTGCTTGGGTTGACCAGTAGCAATTTTTATTTCCCGCCCCCCTGCACACGCGAAAGCGCTCGCGCTGCCATTGGCTCGGACTTGGGGTGAGTCCGGAACTTGTGCGCAGGGGAACTTTGGCTCTGAGCTCCCAAGTTGCTCTAGGCACATCCTTGCGGTGCGGTTTCCTGGCGGCGCACATCCTTGCGGCGCGGTTTCTCTTGCCTTGCTTGCAGCGTTGTGTCAGGAGCTGCAGACAGCCGTGGCCCCACTGGCCTGGCGCCGAGGGACCCTGGAGCGGCGTTTGACGGAGGTCCCCAAAGCCACCGGCTGGCCCCAATGCATCCTCACATAAGTGCGCAGATCCCGGGCTTGGGGTGCGACGGCGGTCTCACGTGGAAGCGGATTGCGGACCCCTGGCAAATTGTGGAGCTGGGGGAAGGTAAGAGGAAATGTAAATCACTTTTCCCCACATTTCAGGGTTTATACTTTCCTAGGCTATCAAAATTTTTAAAATTGTTAAAATTTTTACCGTATGGATCTCTCAGTTGAATGTTATTGAAATCAACCTGACCTCAGCTATTAACGCCTAGAAGCTCCCCTTGAGGCTTATTACGGCCGCCATCCCCCTACACACAAACTGTGTTGGTTTCTTCTTCTGCCTATGTGCTCCTAAAGCACTCAGTGTTTACCTGTCATCATACGTTATTGAAAGTACAAACTGTCACTTGTCTACCCACCCCAACTAAGCTTCTTGAGAATTAGAACTTTCATGCCTCTTTCCAGCACAAGCGTTTTATGCGTATTTTGTTGAAGAACTTCAAATATGATCTATAAAATTATAACTCATTTATATTTCAAACTCCAACCTCTCCCTTGAGTTCCCGGCTCTTAGCAACTACAGACTGAGCTTAGTTGGAATTCAGTAGCGCGCAACTGGGATATCCGCACTGTACGGCTTTTAACGATTTTTTAAATTTTGGTACTCTCAGCATCGCAAATGCACTGTGTCCAAAATAGAGTAGAATGTTGTTTCTACCCACCTATACTGCCATCCTCTGAAGTCCTTTCCCCATGCTCCACCACTCAAGCCTTGCCTATCACAGTAAATGGCAGTTCTGTCTTTCCAGTTGCTCACACATAAAACTAGGCTACTGCTTTGATGACTTCATTTTTCTCTATTCTGTATCTAATTCCTTAGCAATCCTGTCAGTTATACCTCCAAACTGTACTCAGCATATTCACTGCTCTAACTCCAGCTTAAATCACCATCATCCTTTGCCTGGAATTCTGCATCAACCTTCTAATCACTCTACTTTCTTCCTCCTCCTTCCTCCCTTTCTTCTTCCTTAGTGTAAATCATCATTTCATCCTTCGGCTTAAAATCTCATGTTTTCTTATTACACTTAAAATGGCAAACTCTTACCCTTGAGCCCCGCAGAATTTGGCTCCCATCAGACTCTCCAACTTCACCTTCTGCCTCCTTCACACTCTAGCCATGCTCACTTTTTTATTCCTCAGGCTTACCAAGCTCAATTGCATCTTAGAGAATTTGTTCTTGCTGTTTCTTCTGCCTGGAATACATGTTTCCCGGTCTTTATAAGACTATCCTTATCTGTAGGTTTCACCTCAGATGTCATATCTAAGAGAGGTTTTCCTTGACCACTGTAGCCAAAGTAAATGTTGATCACTGAAGGAATAAGGGAATAAATGAATGGAGTGGTATATAATGTAGCAGAGTTGATAATTTAAGGCTAATTCACTATATATCTCCAAGCAAATAGATTTGTAATGCTTTTCCTGCCTAAAATCTATACAGCTGATTCACAAATACTTGGTTGACAGGTTTCATATATCAGTGTGGCTCATCAGCTTATATGTTGCTGGGGCCAGAATCTATACTTACACTTCATTCAAATTTGATTTTACAAGAGTTTGGGTTTTTATTTTTCTTTTAATTAAGAGGGCTGTGAAATTATTACCTGTAACTCTAAATCTCATTTAATTCCTCCCTATAGGATTCAAGATGGATTGGCATCAAAGTTCACTTCTTTAACAAAAGTGCTTTATGGCTTTAATAAAATGTTAGAGAATGGTAGGATCTGTGGAAGCCCTTTACAAAAACTTGTGATAGGAAGTTTTGATGATGAGCAGACTTTGCAACAACTGGAATTGCAAAAGGAACCAATTTTACAATGCTTCCAGAGTGCAGTTAGTGAAACAAAGATGAAGGTATCAGTCTTCTCCCAGAGAGTGAAAAACAGGAGGGTGAAGAGGATGGTTCAGAGACAGAGGCTGATGGCCAGGAGGACCTAGAAGATTTAGAGGAGGAGGAGGAAGTGTCAGATATGGGTGGTGACAATCCTGAAGTGGGTGAGAGAGCTAAAAACTCAAGCAAATTCGATCTGAGGAAAAACCCAGTTTTCAGTGATGAGGATTCTGACCATGACTTTGGTATCGGCAAACTGGAACAGCAGAGCAAGGTGCAAAACAAAGGACATGGAAAACCAAGAGAAAAGTCCATAGTAGACAAGAAATTCTTCCAACTCTCTGAAAAGGAGGCCGATTTAGAAAACAGGGAAAAAGAAGAGGAACAAAAAGATGATAATGATGATGAGGTGGAAGATACTGATTTTTTTGAAGATACTGATTCTGATGAAGATGAGGGGGGACTGTTTGGAAGTAAAACACTTAAGGTAAAGTTTTGAGAGAGGAGAGAGCACTTTCCTCCTCCTCCAATTAGCTTTTGTTCTGTTTTTCTAGGAGAGATGTAATTGTAGTTAGAAGATTTAGAGCTAAGAAATATTGTACTCTATCTTATCAGTTATAAATGAATCTGTACTTCCATTCAGTTTATGTTCCAGTTGTTCTTACAATAGTTTTATGGTAGTGTTTTTAATTGCCAATTTCACCTAATAACTATTTTTGGCTTGTAGTGTTATTAAGTTAGTAATGGAGACATATAGTATACCTAAGTATATATACATGTGTTAATAAGGTATTTTTCTATTCCTAATAGTTTAAAAAGTCTTTTTATTTTAGTCAGGTAAAAGTTTCAGAAATGTGAAGTACAAAGCTTTTTTGATCCAGTCGAAAGTGATGAAGACATAGCAAGTGATCATGATGATGAGCTGGGTTCAAACAAGATGATGAAATTGCTGAAGAAGAAGCAGAAGAACTAAGCATTTCTGAAATGTGAGTATTTTGAACCATCCTTTACATTGTGAGCTGGAATTGCCCAATCATGTATTTGTACTTGTAGTTTTCACATGTTTGTTTTAAGAAGTTAGATTCTGTCATATCAGATACTCTCAAGATAGCCAGAGAAAAGTCTCTGGATTTAAAGGGATATTAGAGATCATTTAATTATGAAAAATGTTACTGACAGTAGCAATTAAACCTTTCTTACAAGGAACTTTGATTTGGTTTTGTGCCCCAAAAATCCTGTTATTTTTGTGAGATAGGAGGTTTGCATTATAGATTGATGAACAATTTATTTTCTATATATTGGACGCTTTTTGTTCTGTTTCTTATATAGCATTTCACTTAAATGATACCTTCTGTTCCTTAATACCTGTATGGTTTTGGAAGTTCTGAGTATTTTGTTGCATTAGGCATATAAAAGAAGAACTCTATTAAGGGAAAAGATGTTTCCTTTTGTTTTTCTAATGGAAAGCAGTATAATATTTCTTTTTATAGGAGTTTTGGTATTGTAGGGATGAAGATGATGACCTGGAAGAAAGTGAAGACAGTAAACAATGTAAAGACAGCTTGAAAAGAGTGACCTTTGCTTTGCCGGATGATGAGGCAACTGAAGATGCGGGTGTTTTAAATGTAAAGAAAAATTCTGATGAAGTTAAATCCTCTTGTGAAAAAAAACAGGAAAAGGTAATAGGAATTTAAGGCATTTTTAATATGCTTGACATGATTGTGGAACTCACAGAATACTAACAAATCTTCCCTATTTTTCTTTTTCTTTTTTTTTTTTTTTTTTTTGAGATGGACCAAGGACCAGCTTTTCTAACTTCAAATATTATGTGCAACATTAGCATCTATCTGCGTAAAACTATCTGCATAAAACTTCAAATGCCTTATCCTCCAGGTTTCTTGATGACTTTCAATAATCATTTCCTTTATAATAGCTTATCACCACACAACTTTCTAGCTACCTCACCCATGACAAATTCTAGACCTTATAATCAGTACTCATATCATTTCTAAAATCTCTATTTTAAACATGTATTTTTAAAAATCTCCAGTTATGACCTTTTCCGGTGGGTTCTTCTTTATAAAAGTTCTGGTTATTTTGAAGTCCTAATTTAAGTGGTGGATAGTTTGTGTTCATGGTTAAGTGTATCCTGTGAACAGTTTTTTTTTTTTTTTTTTTTTTTTGAGACAGAACCAAGTCTCACTCTGTCACCCAGGCTGGAGGGCACTGGCGTGATCTCAGCTCACTGCAACTTCTGCCCCCCAAGTTCAAGCAAATTCTTGTGCCTCAGCCTCCTGAGTAGCTGGGATTACAGATTTGCACCACCATGCCCAGCTAATTTTTGTATTTTTAGTAGAGACAGGGTTTCACCATGTTGTCCAGGCTGGTCTTGAACTCCTGGCCTCATGTGACCTACCTGCCTCGGCCTCCCAAAGTGCTGGGATTATGGGGGTGAGCCACTGTGCCTAGCCCCTATGGACAATTTTTATTGGAAATTGTTAATTTAGTAACATCAAAATTCATTTTTACTCAATGAATATCTGTCTAGCCACCAAGATTCCTGTGTGAATATCTCCTCTATCTCATCATAGTGATTTAGATAAGACCACATGAGCTATTTTTAAGCAATTATATATATGTGTATATGTGTGTACTATATATTACAGCACGTCAACTGGAGAACACATTTGGTTTTTTTTAATTATACTTAATGTTCTAGGGTACATGTGCACAACGTACAGGTTTGTTACATATGTATACATGTGCCATGTTGGTGTGCTGCACCCATTAACTCATCAATTACATAAGGTATATCTCCTAATGCTATCCCTCCCCCTTCCCCCCACCTCACAACAGGCCCCGGTATGTGATGTTCCCCTTCCTGTGTCCAAGTGTTCTCATTGTTCAATTCCCACCTATGAGTGAGAACATGTGGTGTTTGGTTGAAATTGACTTCTTGAAAAATTATTAAATTGCAAAAAAAAAAAAAAAAAAAAACCTGGGAATCAAAATCTTGACAGTTATTATAAAGGTAAAGAGGAAAATAACAACTAACAAAGGATACTTATAGAATATTGATGAGACAACATGGTCCATTATCCATTTATTGACTAAATGCATTGAATTGTCTGAACAACCTCACTTCTAGGCACAGTTATCAATTTGGTAAGGATGGTTTTGCTATATCTTGGTGGAAGCCCTCAAAAGCTTGTTGTATATGTAAATACATAATCTCTGTTTTCTGACATGTAGGGTCTTTTTTTTTTCAGAGTGTCACTCACTCTGTCACTCAGGCTGGAGTGCGGTGATGTGATATTGGCTCACTGCAACCTCCACCTCCCGGGTTCAAGTGATTCTCCTGCCTCAGCCTCCTGAATAGCTGGGATTATAGGCATGCGCCACCATGCCTGGCTTGTTTTTGTATTTTTAATAGAGATGGGGTTTCACCGTGTTGGTCAGGCTTGTGTTGAACTCCTGGCCTCAAGTGATCCCTGCCTCAGCCTCCCAAAGTGCTGGGATTATAGGCGTGAGCCCCCACACCCTGCCCCATGTAGGTAGTTTCATTTTTAAAAAGCATTATAAATCAATACAGAAAAGACAATCTAATAAAGTGGATAAAAGAGACATGTCAAAGAAGAAAATAAGATATAAAAATAGCTAATGAGCACACAAAAAGCTGTTCAGCATAAGAAGTCATTCAAGAAATGCAAATTAAAACCACAAGGAGATCCCAGATCATATTCACTAAAGTGGGTAGAATTTAAAAGACTTGGCCCAGCATGGTAGCTCATGCCTCTAATCCCAGCACTTTGGGAGGCCGAGGCAGGTGGATCACCTGAGGTCAGGAGTTCGAGACTAGCGTGGCCAACATGGTGAAAACCCGTGTCTATTAATACAAAAAAAATAGCTGGGTGTGGTGGTGGGTGCCTGTAATCCCAGCTACTTGGGAGGCTGAGGCAGGAGAATCCCTCGAACCCGGGAGGCAGAGCTTGCAGTGAACTGAGATCATGCCACTGTACTCCAGCCTGGTTGACAGGAATGAGACTCCATCTCAAAAAAAAAAAAAGACTTTCCATATTAAGTGTGGTTACAGATGCAGAAATAATGTTAACAAAAAGGGATGGACTACTGAAGCATGTCACAGCATGGATAAATTTCACACATTATACTGAATATAAGAGGCCAGACCTAAAATAGTACATACTGTGTGATTTCATTTATGTGGCATTCTACAGCAGGCAAAACTAATCTATAGTTATAAAAGGCACGCCGGGTGTGGTGGCTCACACCTGTAATCCCAGAACTTTGGGAGGCTGAGGCGGGTGGATCATGAGTTCAGGAGATCCAGACCATCCTGGCGAACACAGTGAAACCCCGTCTCTACTAAAAATACAAAAAAATTAGCCAGGCATGGTGGCGGGCACCTGTAGTCCCAGCTACTTGGGAGACTGAGGCAGGAGAATGACATGAACCCAGGAGGCAGAGCTTGCAGTGAGCCGAGATGGTGCCACTGTACTCCAGCCTGGGTGACAGAGCGAGACTCTGTCTCAAGAAAAAAAAAAAAAAAAGGCACATGAGTGTTGCCTGGCACCAGAGTTAGGAGGATCATCTTCAAACGGAGTATAGGGAACATTTTAGGAGTAATGGAATGTTCTACACCTTGATTGTGGTGTGGTTTTAAGAGCAGGATGTGTTAATTTGCCAAAAAGTCATCAAACTGCTTAAAATCGGTGCCTTTTATTGTGTGTTAACTATGTCTCACTAAAAATGAATATTGAACACATAAACATGAAAATAAAAAATGCTATAATGAACATCTTCATACTTTAATAAATTTTTATTCCTTTCCTTAGGATAATTATTGAGCCTTTTGCACTTATTTTCTGAAGCCATGTGGAATTGTGATAATTTGCTTGATATCAAAAAAGAATATATGAAAATAAATACCTAATTTGATAGGATTCCTGGCAGGAACTGAAGTGAAAAATTTAGGCTTAGTGGGTGAAAATATTTGGGAGTGGGGAGGGGGTTTCATTCAGCCTTTCAAATCTGGATAAGGCCTGCTCTATCTAAAATGTTAGTACTCTCTGAAACAGCTTCCATCTTACAAGGCTTGAAAGGGACTGGTTTTGTTTTGTAAACTCCCAGGTCAAATCTCAGCAAGAGACTGAGCAGCATTTGGTTCCTGTGTGATTCTTAGCCTCTATTTTTACTCTTTTTCTTCCCTCTGGTCCACGGAGGAGAAGCCATATGTTGGTAGTAGTAGATTCTTGTGATATCTCCCATCCTCTCAGCCTATCTGATTCAGCACACCTCGGTGGACCCCTCCATGAACTAGACAACATCACACAAATGCAGAGAGGGGTGGCTCTCTACTGTCTCCAAAACCACCAAAGGCTACTCAGCTGCATGCAGGCGGAACGTGAAAAGTATGATGGAGTTAACTTCCTTGAGAGCAAACCTCGTCTCTACCACTCAGGCCTCCCATTCCCCTGGTGGAACAGTGCTGAGATGAGTTCCATGTGGTTTTATAGCAGACTCCTAGTACATTGAGCCCTTGTTGCCTACAGTGGTAAACAACTCAGAAATGTACTCTTTACTGGCTTTTCTTCCTTCTCCGTCTTACTTTCACCACTCCCTCAATTTCACATCCTCTCAGATAAACTACCTGCACTCAAGTCTTTGCCTCAGCTCTGCCTTTGGGGGAATCTGAACTCAGCACTCTTGCTGAAGGTGAGCTGTGATTCAGTCCACAGTCTTCTCTCCGCCTGTTCACCATTCCACCCTCCACCCTGTAGGGAACACTCCTATCCATCTTTTCGGTCCCTTGGTGAAAACTTCTGTTGTTTACCTAAGTAACCAATATAAATCCCTCTTTGTCATCCTCATTGCAGTTCCATGTATTGCTCCTCTTATTTCACTGTCCTGGGATTGTTTTCATCTCTTCCTCCCCCTGGGATTTCTGAATTAGCATCAAAGAACCCTGGAATTAGCTAGCAGGACGTATAACTGCGCCTAAGTCGTGAGCTCCTATTGGTAGAAACTATATAACTTGTTTGTTTTTGAATCTCAGTATTTCACACAGTATTGGCATAGAGGACCCAATAGATGGTGGTTGGACAGAAGTAAAGTCACTCTGCAGAGCAGAGGCACAAGCCTAGAGAGAATTTATTTCCTCCCCATATTTTCTCCTGGAAGTCCTCCTTCTCACAGTGTTCCTGCTCCCTCGCACTGAGCTGAGGTATGCAATGAAACCCATGGGACCTGTCTGTATAATGGAGTGCATATACCCTCCAGGCCTTTGCCACATAGGCTAGATCCCTGTAGCATGTCTGGAGGACGAGGTCACTAATGCCTGGCTTAATTTAGCTGAGCCACTTCAGGAGGGATAATGGTAGCACTGAAAGGCTACTTTTCTGCCCATTCTGCAACATCCTGCTGGCCTGCTTTCTGGGGCTCTTGACTTTGTAGCAACCAAAAGACCTTTTCAGATATTTGGGGCCTGATCAAGACCATTGAGCAAACCCTCCTTCCCTTTACCAGTAGAGCAATCAGAAGAGTGAAGGGTCTGGAAGAGCAATAGAGCATCAAGCCAACTGGAGTTCAATTACTGGCCCTGCCATGTAATGGCAGAATAAGCTTGGGTCATCTTTTAACTTCTTTAACACTCAATTTTTTTTCCACCAGTGAAAGGAGAACAAGAAAACTTATAGCATCATTTTGATGGTTAAACTAACATATTTAAAATGTCTTCCATGGGGATTTCAATCTTTTATTGACCATATTTTTTGGCAGTCTAGTGAAGGCTATGGGCTCCTAGAAGAAGTACTTTAAACTCATAAAACAAAATATGGGGAATTACAAAGGTAACACTATAATACATTTATCAAAATGTTTTTTAAAAATAAATGTGTTAGAATGTAACATGTTTCTTTGTTCATGTGTTCAAAATTAAGAGATTAAGCTGAGGGTCTGATAACTACTTTAATTTTGAGGTAAAGAAGCACATAAATGATATTTTGATTTACCTGCCAAACTGTAACACTGTCATGAAAATATCTGTCATTTCTATTGTTGACAAAATCACATTGTGGGTTTATAACCTATGTTTGTAGATGAAGAAAATGCTAAATACTTATTAAAGAAGAGTGAAAATAAAGATGAATTTTATTCCTTCCAAGTTTATGGAACCCTGAACCTCTTGCTTAATCTGGAAAAAA